GCAAGTTTTGTCAAATACTTGTTGTACTTAAAGTGGACCTATCATGCTATATTTGAATAATAATAAGGCATATTTATACTTTTTGTTTTTCAAAATACCAAACAGATCATGCATTTTAGCCATGCCTCATTTCGCTCAATAGAGTGGCGAAGTCCCTCCCCTTCCGGTTGAGCCCCATGGGACCTTATTTCGGAAAAGTTATGCATTGAAGTCAATGGAGAGAGAAAGATTATCTTTCGATCCCGTTTGAATTGTGCCACGAATTACACATATGATGTTTGTCAATTTAAAAGATAATTTTGCAAGTAAAAAAAAAAAAAATGTGTCGTAAAACTGTGAAGTAACACATTTGTTTGTGTGAAACGCTAAATGAACTACATCTCTGGTCAACCACACACCTCACCAAGATGGCCGTCACTACTGTCTTGTCAACAAACGATTGACTACCCTCACTATCACCACAATGAAACACGTCCTGAAGAATGTCATGCAAAGCTGCCTGCCTGCCTTCCTTTGATTCTCTCTGAACTGCCTGGTCGTTTTAATGTTTAATGTCAACCATTTGTGCAGATAGCATGAAGTAGAAAAGATCGCCGATGCTAACGTTAGCGTTAGCATTTCTCCCCCGGAATTAAATGGTGTATTATAGAATGATCACACCGGTGACAGTACTATTCAAAGGGTTCACGAAATATGACTACTACTCTTACTGTTTAACATTTTGGGTTACTTAATGTTACTTCATGTTAAGGCTAATAAAAATGACAAGGCTGTAATGCTAACTAACGTGCTAGCTACTAGCTAGGTAGCTAACTTGATCAAGCCACTCCTGGTCGTTTCATCAGACGGGAAGCAAAAGAACGAGCAAGACCCATTGCTGGTATAATAACAACCTGGTACTAAGCACACAGGCATCTTGTTAAAGTTATCTTATCTTAGCCAGCGCCATATAGATAGATTATATCTATATTGCGCTGATCTTAGGTATCTGAATGGTGGAGGTAAACAATTGTGACATCACTTACGCGACTCTGGGATTTGTAGTCTTTCTAGTTGCGTATTTTTCATAGTCTTATATTTCAACAGTTTTACGACAAACTGTGACTTTTTTGACATGGAAATTATTTTTTAAGATTGACAAACATCATATGTGTAATTCATGGCACAATTCAAACGGGATCGAAAGATAAGTTTTCTCTCCCCATTGACTTCAATGCATAATTTTTCCGAAATAAGGTCCCATACCCCGGAAGTAAGTGGGAGGGACTTCGCCACTCTATTTGAAATTTTTTAGCTCTGTTTTTGCAAGGGCTGATTCTGTGAGAACAGCACCACCTACAGGCCTGGCATATGTACTACAACGTCTCCAGCGCTTTCGAACGGCACTGGCCGTGGCTGTCTCCTCCTGATTGGTGGAGTTGGCCCAATAGCCGTAGCGCCACCGTCCTGACGTCAGGACAGTGTTCAAATCTGGATCAGTTTTTATCAGATCCGTTGCAGCCCCTTTTTTAGAGATTTGGGTATGGAGGAAAATAGAGAGGGTTGTGTTTTCTGACACTTGGTGAGTTCCCTGGAACACCGGGGACACATATTCATGTATAAAAGACGTACAAAAGTGCATTTTGCATGATAGGTCCCCTTTAAGTAACAACACTTATTATTTTAACACAGATGTTGACTTAATTTAATAATTAATTAACTTTGCCACATCCGCAGTTATTTTAATCCAAACCAACTCATTTCCTTGCCTTATCCTAACCAAGTGTGATGACGTTTTTTAATGATCGCAATGCATGCAACAAGCTTAATTGGACACATGTTGCTGGATATTTGCAGGAGACTGCAGAAAGAGGAAAAACCTTTCGGAAGATGTCGTAAGAACCATTGTACGAGGATACTTTGCTCTAGTACTATAAGTACCTCCCACACTCAGCAGCAGCATGTTTTGTAGTGTACTAGCAGTGCAGTCAGCAGGGGAGCGATTAGCAGTCAGCGGAGCGCTCATTACGTCGTGGATAGAGCAGCTGATTGTTGGGCCTGCCCTCTGCTTCAGAAGCACCACACTGTTTACTGTCTGGATACACCGAAAACAAACACACCAGCCCAGCCTCCCACACACACTCCAACCCACTCACAGTCAAGTGTACGGAAAAAGCTATTATCTGTACCAGTCGCTCAGCCACACACAGGGATGAACCACGAAAGCACACAAACAAACAAAAACACATGTTGTCAGATGAAAAGCTGCTGAATAAGCTTTTTCCATAAGGCATAATTTGGAGGAAAAAAACATTTGTTTGTTGGACAAATTGTCCCAAATCAAGAGGAACCGTCCAATCCTTCAATTTAATTTCAAACATCAAGTTACCAAAGTTTGACAAGTGGTGGGTTTCACCCTGAAATGTGTGTGTGTGTGAGGGGGGGCATGTGTGCCTAAGTGTATGTTTGTAGTTTATTCTTGTCTGTGTTTAGCCCTCCGTTGCAGACATAAGTGTTTGATTAGCTGGCCTGTGTGGTGTGTGTGTGTGTGCGTGTGCGTGTGCGTAGTAAGTTGTTTAAGGAGTAGGTGCATGTTTACAGCATCCTGAAGACAACAAACACTAAAAAGGGATCCTGAGCAGATGAAATGCTTTAAGAACGTCAGATGTGCAACAGGTGTGTCCGAGAAATGAAAAACACGTGGTCGTCTGCAGGCACTGAAGGAAAACTACAATTCCATCATGCAAACAAACGCACACTGCTCTGTCTGAGTGTGTTATGCAAAACAGCCGCGTGGAGGAAGTGGAGTCAGCCCATGAAACATGCAGCCTGACCTCACACCGGGCCGAACACTCAGGAGGGGCTCGCTCTGCCCCCGGCTGCAGGAGTTAATGAAATAGCTGCTTGACACAGATATGAGGAGGTTGAATCTGTCAGCATGCGGTCACTGAACGAGCTGAGTCTGGCCCCCACATTAGGAGAAAGGGGTGAGAGAAAACAGAGAAGAATGTAAGAGAGGAATTGGTAGTATTAAAGGTATTAAGTGGTACTTTTTGAGTTTGTACATTTAGGAAGTGATTTGGATTATATTACTGTGCTTCAGTTATAAAGGCTTCTTACTGTTTATACTATTATATTTTAACATAAATCAACCGTGGAGGACATTGTTTGCAGTTCTTCCATAAGCATGGCATCAAAAACCAGCTACTATTACTTTGCCAAATGTGCTATCTGTTAGCAGACTTGCTAAAGGGGGTGCATTCAAAAGATACGGTAAAATGGCTCTGCACTGACGTTGCTGTTTCGTTTCTATGGAGAGTGGTAACGCTGACTAGGCAGAAGCCTCGCTCGGCCTTTGCACTGCTCGAAAAGCACTAAATATTTCAACTCATTTACCGCTGACCTCAATGAGCAACCAATCAGATAACAGCAGAATGAAACAGTGCAAGCTAGTAGCGGAGGTAAACGTAGAAACGCGGTAAGCAATAAGTAAATCGTGTATCTGCATTTACATATTTTCAAATGTTTGGCAATTTCAAAAATACGCTTGAATTTGCATGATTTTTCTAAACAATTAAATGCCAATTCTTGAAATAACGGTGTGTGTGTACAGCAGTACCAAAATCTATTTGGCATTAGAAAAAAAATACTACAAAAATATCATTATTATATATCATTATTATTTAGAATCTTCATTCTCAGCTGAATAGTTTTTCCCCTAACCCTACATTTCAGTTCAAGTACCCTGTCTTCACTTCTGCACTTGTTATAAAGTCTGCATAGGTATGACAAAGCAAGAACACACACACACACACACACACACACAAATACACTCACACACCTTCACCCAGACAAAAGCTCACCCTCCCCCCCCCTTGGTGTAATCCCATGTGATCTCGCCGACACTCTGTTGTTAGAAGCCTCCTCTCTCTCCGCAGCCTCTCCCATCGCTGCCTTTGAACTCGGCTGCCAAGAAAGTGTAACACCGCGTGCCAACATTATAATGATACAATTGGCGGGGGGTGAGGAGCTGAGTGGGAGCAGAAGGCCCTGACACAAAGAGAGTAAGAGGCTCCAATATTGTCAACGTGTTGTTAATAAGCTGCGGGAGAGAAACGAGGTGTGTGTGTGAATTCCTGGAAGTTTTTGCATGTCCACAAATATGAATTCTTCTGTAAAGGAGTGTGTGTGTGTGTGTGTGTGTGTGTGTGTGTGTGTGTGTGTGTGTGTGTGTGTGTGTGTGTGTGTGTGTGTTGTGGAGGTGATGTCAGGCTACATTACAACTTATTGCTGAGTTGAGTGACATGCAGGATTATCGGCTGGGAGAAATACAAAAAAGAAACTTTTATCAGCGTGGGGCCGGGCCCGCATGTTTGATGTTGGTCTGATGACTCATATACAGGGTGGAGGACAGAGGTTGAGTGCTGACAGTGCGGGGTCATTAGAGAGCAACAAGTGGGCCCAGGCAAGCTTTCATTTACACAGTCTCTGTCATCTCACAGATAGTTCACAATCATACCGCAGGATAACTGGTATAATATGTAAATATCGGATGGATAAATTAGGGCTGAGAGGTATGAAGAAAATCATATATCACAATATATTTGACCAAATACCTCAAAATTGATATCATGATGATATTGTAGGGTGTGCTGTTGAGGATTTAAGCAATTTCAAACATTAGCATTTTAATAAATAATCATCAATAATGTAGATATAATGACTAAGATCATGATTTTCCTGTACTGAAGCAATATCTACAGTAGTCTTATGTCATGATATCAATACAATATTGATTAATTGCCTAGCCCTTAGATTTTTTTGTTTTGGTGGGTGAGGATTACTCAATATTAGATGTTGATTATGCACACAATTTGAAGCTGTTGTGAGCATCAAAACGTTTTTTTCCATGTTATATTTATTCTTACAGACAACATGCATGCTCAGCAAACAAACGGGCTTCAATTCCCTTACTTCACTTATATCTGAAATGATTTTCTTTTGTCTTTTTTGACTACTAGGTCACTTCCTGGGGAACCACAGCGTGCTGGAGCTCCTGAGGCAGGAGGGCTACGAGATCGTCCACGTGCATCCTGATCACCCAGAGCCAGACACAGGGTGAGCCAGCAGAGGAGAGCTAAACTAATGACAGATGAAATAGCTGTGGTTACAAAGAAACAAAGAAAGTCTGCTATATATAGTCAGGAAAAAATGCTAAATGCTTGGGTTACTAATTAAACACATCTGATGCAAAACCAACAGTGATTGTTTGACAATACTGAATCTGATAAGGTTTTAAATGCTGTAATCAGGCTCGCTTTGATTCTGACAAGGCAGGAGGGATTTGTTGCTACCATCACACCAATAATGCAATATGGATTGTGAATCAGAGCATTTGTGCACTCTTAGTTCTTGGCAGGCGTGCAGATATATGTGGACATCCATCAACTCAGCCAGTCCACATCCGTCTAGCTCTCCGTGGAATCGAGCTATTTAACCTCGGTAGATTTATTAAAGTGAAGCGCAGACACACTGCTCTGTAACATATAAAAAAGCTAAGCTACGCAGGAACCCTTTGATACATCCTCAACTCCCTCACCTTCCTCCCCTGTCTCCCGCCTGCCAGAGGGCGAGCTGCCAGGGGTGGTTCTGCCTGTTCTCAGCAGCCACTGGTACCAGGGTCAACACAAACACACACTTAAGCATGTAAGTGTGTGTTTGGAGGAATGCACGGTGCCAAGGAGGGTTTAACACACACTCAAACTAGCACGGGAGTCACGCAACATTTTTGCACAGAAACCCTTCCACAAACGCTCTTAATATCTCACTCTGTGTGTGTGTGTGTGTGTGTGTGTGTGTGTGTGTGTGTGTGTGTGTGTGTGTGTGTGTGTGTGTGTGATCCCATTCCTTGGCAAAGAGCAGCTCCACTCTTACGAGGTTTATCCATGGGCCCATAAAATAGCAGCAAAAGCCACTTGAATCAGGGTGAAATTGGAAACAAGGGGCGCCCTCTTAAAAACAGTAAATACATCCCCACACATCCATCCAGCTGTGATTTCACCCTGCACACCTCTATCTCCCACCGCTCCGTTTTAGCCGGCGGTTTGAAAGCTGACAAGTGGACTGACTTACTGTGGTCGCAAAACACTCACACACAACCACACTGTGCACGGACACTTTTAGCTTCCTGATACAAGGGTGACATGACAGACCAGGAGCAACACCACAGAGCGAGAGGTGTTTGGGGAAGACTCAGACTTTGAGTGTTTCGGACCGATAGGCAGGAGGTTTGAAAGAGCGATCGTACGACTGACTAGGCGGAGAAGAGTGGAGGTGGGTTTGGCTCCACAGAAGCTTGACTGCAGGCCTGCCGCTATCATCACCCCCGACCGAGGGGGGGGTTCATGTTTGTGGAAGTAGAAGTGCAGACTTTGAATTTATGATGATCAGAGGGAGATGAGAGAGCCGAGGAGATCTTGAGTTAGATCCATCCTGCAATCCATCATATTGGGTTAAGTAGTATCAAAGTTGGACACGAGAATAAGAGGATTATTGACTACTTGTTTTAGACTATTTGTTTCCCTTATAGTCGACTTGCCAGCAGTGTGAACCTGGAAATGTGGAGTACTCCAAAGTGTTATGTTAGAAATTTATAGTACGTAAAAAAGTATTGGTGTGGTGTGGTTTTTGAGGTATATTGAGGATGTGTAATCAATTTCTGACATTTTTAGGATAAAAGATTGCAGTTTTGAGTCGCCTTAAACTTTGAGATTGACCAAAAATGCATGAGCCCACCAGGAGTACACATATGGCCACTTTCTGGTCCAAACTGAAATTGTTCATCCTGAAAAATGTCAGAAATCGATTCAAAGTCCTCAATTACCTCCAAACCCACTCCAAGATTGTCGAAATGGGCCATGCCAATTTGTAACTATTGTCTGCATATGGTAATTAATGCTAAACATGCAACTTATGCTAATTGTGCAAATTGCCCAACATATGCAAGTTAGCATCCGGTAGTTTCTATGAGCTTGGGATCTATACTATACATTTCTAACATAAAACGTTGGGGTACTCAACATTTCCGGGTGCACGAGTACGTTTTTACGATCTGGCAAACAGACTATTACTGTAGTGTCGATGATGTGTTCAGGCTCTTTTTGTTGGTCTACAGTACCTTGAAAAACAAAGTCATATGCGAGCCACATTGACAGGAAAAGAACAGGAGAGGAGAAAGTATGAGTAACTGGAGGACAGAGCAGCGTGGCAAAAGTTTTTGAGGAGAGGCCGGGGATTCTGGGTGGTCTGCTCCGGGCAGATGTCAGTTTTGAAGCAACAGTACGGCCAAAGGAGTTACAACTTCCTCTAATGTTGGCTGCAGGGGATTTCTGCCACTCAGGGGGAGGGTTTATAGGGCAAGGCGTCCTATGGGGTGCTCGTGTCCTTGATTGAAGTCAAGACATGTTAAGGGAAAAGCAATATTGGCCAGAAACCACAAACAATAACATTTGAAAAGTGAAACAGTTTCAATTACCGACTCACAAAATGTGATTTACCCTCTATAAGTCAAAGTGATACATTTGATATACCTCGTTTTCATTTGGTACAAAGTTACTAAGTGGGCTTTTCTGAGTATAAAGTGAATCAATACATGCGACATAAGAATTCATAAAACTCTTTCACTCTTTGAAGTTTGACCGCTCACATATTTTTTTAAAACGGTTCATTTATATGTTTAAACATATCCACTTATTTGTATATTATTACAGTTTATTGAATTGATTCTACTGTAAAGTTTTACATGTTTTACTCTCAATTTACTTGCATCAGTATGTCTCTGGCACTATTTTATGTAAAGTATTCAATGGTGCAGAAATGACCAATTAACGTAATTAGAACACCTTTACGTTAGTGTTACGGACCGTCTCCACAGCAGCGTTAAAAAAATCTTGGAGGTGGGCGTATCTGAAGCTTGAGGATTTTTTGCGATCAACCAATCACATGAATCTCCCGCCCCTGACATACGAAGCCAAAAAGCCCGAAGTAAACTGGATATAAACTCCCCAAAACAGGCGAAAACCTACCACTGTCTCTGCCACCTCCCTCCATGCCTGGCTCCTCCGGTTTATATCCCGGTAGGTCTGGTCATAAAGCACCAGGTGATTCCCTACCGCTAATTTCTCCTCCATGTTTTGGAATATGAGGAAATGACCTGCGGTATGTCTCTCCCAGCATACACGCCGTTTGATTGGCTAGAGCTTGAACTGTCAGATTTGCGTACACGGGATTTGATTGGCTGACGCTTCCACCTCAGCCTCAAAAGTTGAACATTGTTCAACTTTGAATCCTCAAAATCCTGAGAATCTCCGCTCGCCTGCCCACAATCCATTTCGGCGAAAAGTGAGGGAAAGTGACGTCACCCCATTCAAAGTGAATGGGCAGAAGCGTTTCAAGATTTTTTAACGCTGCTGTGGAGACGGCCCGTTAGTGACGGCATGCAGGTAGTTATGATCCACCCAAATGACCCTAGAAGTGTTTTTTTTTTTTGCTAAACATCTCTAAAAAGGTCAAATGTCACTTGTTTTGCATCAATCTTGATACAGGGTACTTATTATATGTTATAGTTTGGATTCCTAAAGCTTTTAGTAATGTTTTTTTTTTGGACGGACACTATAATTTACATTTTTTTACTATGTTCAATCTGAATTTACTTTAAAATAAAAGCATCTATATTGATTCTGACTTTTCCACATCCAACTCACAGGTTTATCATTGCTTTGAGAAAAAAGATTATTAATTTAACCCTTTTAGAAGTGAAGATATAGTCGTTTGTTCTGGGCATGTCATTTTCGAGCCTGAGGCCTGGAAAACAGGCTCAGGGCTTAACAGGTTAAACCCTAACACTAGCTTCTTACTTCTGGTTTCAGGTAAATATAAGGAGATTATCTTGTTGAATAAAACTTGCAAGCATCATAAACATGTGTTATTTTCTGCGTTAATTGATAATGCAATGGAAACAAATCCCATTGGCTTTTTGTCGAGGGAACCAGTGTGATGTTAACTTCTGGGTCAGCCTACAGAAATGCCTCATCCCTGCACCACCATACAGTACACTCAATATTGTATGTTGTGTTGTTCAAGGAGCCTAGGACTTCCGATTATCATTGCCAAAACTACACTCTGGCCCAAGGGTGTCCAAACTACGGCCCGTCTTATATTGTACTTCTTAAATATATAGGTAAAAATGTATTACACGGTAGTAATCATGTATTAATAAGCCCACTTGTCAAATAAATTCTGTCAATTAAAGTTGAGAACATTTTCTAACAAATCTTTGTTAAAAAAAAGGACCAATAACTTATTTACCTAACAAGCTTGAAATAGACCCTTCATATTTTCCCCTTATTATAAGCAATCTGAAGCTTCTGTTTTGAGGGATGAGCTGCCAACAAAATAAAGTAAACCCTAGAAAGCTTTTTTTCTTAAAGGTCCCATGACATGCTTTTCTGGTTATTACCCGTCCCCTTGTGTGTTATGTAGCTTTTTCTGCATGTAAACGGTCTGCAAAGTTACAACCCCTCAAAGTACACCCTGTAGCGAGTAAAACTCTAACACAGAAAAGACCTGTCTATGCTGCCCCAGAACGCCTCGTTGGAGATTTTTCTTTTTCCATTTTTTTGTGACGAGTATAGTGACGTAACGAGTATAGTGACGTAACAGCTCCTCACACACACACACTCAGCCTTATATTTTCTCAGCCACGGCTCTGTGCTCAGGCTGAGTTCTGGGTGTACCAGTAACCCAGCTCACACTGTCCGCTCCTCGAGCCTCAAAGGGCGGAGCAGCGAGCCCCGCAACGTCCCGCCAACACAGCACCCAGACCCCACGCGGCATTCTCATCTGTTTGTCATTACTGGTGTCATTTTCTGGGTACTAACAAACGCCATTGTAACACATAATCACTGATGTTCCGCTGTAACGGTGGTGGACTCATCAGAACAGAGTGGGCGAGCTGACCAATCAGAGCACAGTGGGCTCATAGGAAGGGGGGGGGGGGGGGGCAGGAGCTCCAACAAGCCGTTTAGGACAGAGAGTGAATACACATACTATACCGAGATGCTGTATGAGAAACCAATGCGAGTTTGGAACAATGTAAATCTATTCTAGTATACCTCAACAATGGAATTATGATCAGTAGAAATGGCCATGTCATGGGACCTTTAAGGCATTATCAGGTATCAAGCATCATTTACCTACATTTGATTGATTTTTCGAACTTATAACTGAACCTATGAGGCAATATACCTCTAGTGAGTGGCCCAGCCCTTCGTATGTTTTTCTGTATGTGGCCCTCTGTGAAAAAAGTTTGAACACCCCTGCTCTAGCCAATGTGAACATGACAGTGAAGCCTTTGAATCTTTCCTCCTCCAGGAGTAAACCAGCTGAAGACTCTGAAGGCACGGACCCCAGCACCTCATCTACAGACAGCTGGATGACCGGTTCCCCCGACACGGAGCTGGAGCTGGAGGAGCCGGAGGACATGCCGGGCCTCGGGGGGGAGGAGCTGCCTCACATCCTGCTCCCCGACAGCCTGAGCCAGCTGGAGGAGTTCGGACGACACAAACGGCCTCGCAAAACTCACAGAGGCCACGGGAGGCCCCGCCTCTTCAGTGACCTGTGGGTGCGCATCGGGGACAGGTGAGATATCTACGATCATCTATCGTGCTATTTTATGTCTTTTTTCTTTTCTGCCTTAAAGGAGAGGTGTCATGCTTTTCCGGTTATTACCCGTCCCCTTGTGTGTTATGAAGGTTTTTATGCATGTAAACGGTGTGCAGAGTCAAAACCCTCAAAGTACACCCTGTAGCGAGTAAAACTCTAACACAGAAAATACCTCCCCAAAACGCCTCGTTGGAGATTACTCATGTTCTTCCTGGGCATCGTGACGTCTGGATACCCAGTAGCCACGCCCAGAGCTATGACGCGATACGGTCATGCGGTACCCGGAACCAAATGGACCAATCCGTGGAGCCGTTATGTTACGTCCGCGGAGCCGTTACGTTAAGCCCCCGCTGATTGGTCCAAATTGACCAATCCACGGACTTCCTCACACACAGGCAGCTCAGCTGATTTCTCCTCCCTGGCTGCAGGCTGATAACAGACAGTTGGGATCGTGGCGAAATTCTCTCTGCAGACCCATTCTCACAGCGTTTATCAACCTTTTTCTTACTCAATATCAAGCCACACTTATTGTTTTTACTTCGGCTGTGAGTTTGTGTGTGCTCAGGATGAGTTTGGCTGTGTTTGGCTGTGTATCCTAAACAAGGAAACAACACCTCCACGGAGCTCAGCGCGATTCACAACGTCCCGACCAATCAGAGCACACTGTGCTCACAGGGAGGGTGGGGGCTGGAGCTATTGGAGCTCCAACGAGCCGTTAAAGGCAGATAGTGAAATTCAGTGAATACACGTAGTTTACAGAGATGCTGTTTGAGAAACCAATGTGAGTTTGGAAAAATGCACAATATAAATCTATTTTAGTAGACCTCAACAATGGAATTATGATCAGTGGAAATGGCCATGACACCTCTCCTTTAAGTATGATAAATGTTGCCGTGTTGGAGAAGCTTTAGACTAGGTTTCATTGCCAACAGCCACCCTGTAGATATTGTTCATTTGACAATAACGCCTTTTCTATCACTATATTGGTTTTCAGCTCTATATTGTATGAGGTTGTTTTTTGGAAGTATATCATGATTTGATAAAATCTTATACAATAAAATGTGACATGATAAGATGAAATTCAATAATCTCAAAGGAAATGTATGCGATTGCTCAAAATGACATAATAAAAAAACAAAAAACATGAAGTAATAAATAAAAAGTGTATATGATGTAATGTTGACAAACTGCATAATACAATTTTATAAAAAGTAAGACACATTTTGTTGACCAAGTGAACTAAAATATGAAGTAAAACATTCTTATTATTGTTAAACTGAATTGGATATTCGAGGAAAAAAAGCTTCAAAATGTAAGAGCACTTGACTCGACATATCTGGCAACGCCTTTTTGTAAATGATTCTGACCATAAATTCAGCTATAAAGTATTCACATTGGAGAAAAACTGAAGCATTGTTTGCTTTAAAGATTTAAAATTGACATTGTCAAAATGATTGAAGATATATTTGTGTTGATTGATCACCAAAGAAGCTAAACCCCTGTTATCTTGTGTCCTCCTCCCTCCTGCAGCACCACTCCTCCCCCCAGTGTGAGGATAGTGAACGGCTATGTGACCGTGGAGCCTCCTCTCACCCACCAGGAGCAGCACAGACGAACAGAAAGCTCCGTCACAAAGGAGCACCCTGACCCTGCCTCCCCCTCCTCTCCCCCCCCCACCCCCCGCTCTGCTCAGTCAGCCTCCGTGCACAGCGCGCTCACACCATCGTGTATTTTAGCCTGGCTGTTATCACACATGCTGCTCACCTCCTGACCGAGGAGACAACAACAGCGGTATCTAAACACACACACACACACACACACTGCTGCCTTCTTCCATACCAGAGCAGTGGAATGTACCTGATAAACAAGGAATGAGCATCTCACACGCAGGACGAGAGATGGAGGAACAGTCCTGCTGTCGGCCTCCACCCACAGCGAGAGATACAGCCTGAAGAAGACTTTACGAACATTTACAAGTCTCCGAATGTGCAGAATAAGCTCTCAGCCAAGCAACCAATGGACTGTGTTGGAGTTTGCAAACCTCAATAAAGTATTATGGTGGAATAACAAACACATAACACAATGAAAACATGTTTTAAGAAGTTGTGTGGTGGAACAGAGGGCTGGGTAATATATCAGTGTTGGGAAATAAGACTAGAAATCTTCTTAGATTTTGGATAACATAATAAAAGTGTTATTTCTTCCTGGTTTTAAAGGCTGCATTACAGTAGGGGGGAGGGCTTTTCTGAATATACCAGGTTATTTCAGCACGTCTTCCTACTTGGACATTAAATCCACAGTACTGATGATCATTTTTCCAAATTATCATTGTGTAGTATTTTGAGAAAGCATCACATTTCAACCCTAAAATAAAATAAGGATACCGATATCAAGGTATTTGGTCATACATATTGGGATATGTGATTTGTCTTCATGTTGCCCAGCCCTGGTGGAACTTTCCATCTACTAAAATCTGTAATACTGTATAGAATAAGACCAAGTGTTTCTTAATATTGAGAGTAGGACATACTAATAACAGTTATTATAACTCTGTGGTAAATGAGTTGAATGCATAGAGTTAAACAGTACTGTGTAGGAGGTGGAGCACTCAGTTGCCACTTTTTTTGTAAATTGTGCATTTTGTTCATAAAGAAATATTGTATATTTATTATTTCTGGAAGAAAAGAGTATATTTTCTTGCTTTTTTTGAAGATAAATGTAAAAATAAACTTTGAAAACGAATAATTGCTGAAAGATTTCTTTTTGATCCCGGTTGACACATCATTTGGGTTTGACTTTCATGGCCAGACATTGGAGAAAAAACTGATTGAAATATAATGAACAGCCTCCTAAAGACATTCATATTCCTATATGAATTGATATATGTAATATGTCATATGTGAATTATTACAATGGCTATATTTAATAATCACAGTAAGATCAACTTGGATGAAGTTAGTGGCATCAATGTATTCATTTCTTGATGTATTTATTATTAAGCACCATGCATATTCATGAAACCATGAATTAATGTGGTAACAATTAGGCTACATTTAGTGACGTGTGTATGTGACAAGTTGGCAGATGACAAAGCTTAACCTGTGTCGTGCTTTCTTTAACACTTAACTTAGTGTATTGAAAAGAGTAAATGCACATTACAGTATGTTGGACTGCGGGTTAAAGACCTTTTGATTACAGTGTACACACCCAAATATTATACTGAAAACATAACTGAGCAGACCATAAGGGGTAAAAGAGACAACATGTGATCTCAGTCTGCCACCTGCTGGCCAAACAGGGAAACACTTCACTTAAATAATCTACTACACATACAGAAAAATATACAAAGGGCTGGGCCACTCACTAGAGGTATATTAAGTTCAGTTCAAAGTTGCACAAATCAATCCAATGTAGGTAAACTATTCTTGATACTTGAAAACTGCCTATATCACAGCTCTCCATAAGGTTTCATTTATTTTGTTGGCAGCTCATTCCTTAAAACAGAAGCCTCAGATTGATTATAATAAGAGGAAATAGGAAGGGTCTATTTCAACCTTGTTATGAAAATAAGTTATTGGGCTTTTTTATTATCAACTTAGATTTGTTAGAACATGTTTTCAACTTGAATGGACTGAATCTATTTGAAAAGTGGGTTTATTAACACATGAATACTGTAATATATTTGAACATATATATTTACATGTAAGAAGCACAATATAAGACAAGCAGACGTTTATTATGCTTAAGTCATTAAACTTTTTTAATTTGCTGAGCGCCGATTCAAAATGGTCCGTGGGCCGCATTTGGCCCCCGGGCCGTAGTTTGGACACCCCTGATCTATTAGTACTACAGTTGCATTAGACAAGTGCCTATCAGAGTAATGCAACATAACACCAGAACCATCAAACCTCAGGAGGGGAAATGTTGAAGTCAAACACAGCGAGGAAGGTTAAAACAAGGCACATGTAAAGTCAGAGGTCATTTCAGGGGACTTGATGCTTAAAAATGCAATAAAAAGTCTGAATCCTGTTTTTACTTCTCAAAAGGGAACATTATAAACACATTGGCAGATCAAGATGTTTCTCACAATCTTGTGAATGAATGACATATAAGTACCATTTCTGAAACAGTTCAAAGTTAAACACAGGTTAACCTGAAGACGTAGATCATGGCAGCTATTGATAGGTAAAAGGCTTCTCGGCTGTGATCTTGATCTGGCATGTCTGCAGAGGTATTAAAAGATTCATGATGATTAATGAAGGAGATGTGGTAAGATTGTAGGAATTCTCATGATGACATTTACCTCAATGTGATTTATACCGAAGCTTTTACATTATTCACCTGCATCGTTGGAAGCTGAGAGCTCCTTATGAGCCATATTTAAAGTGGACCTATCATGCTATATTTTAATAATATAGTGTAGGACTATACCTATATAAGGCATATTTATACTTTTTTTTTTCAAAATACCAAACAGATCATGCATTTTAGCCATGCCTCATTTCGCTCAATTTGAAACATTTTAGCTCTGTTTTTGCAAGGTCTGATTCTGTGAGAACAGCACCACCTACAGGCCTGGCATATGTACTACAGCGTCTCCAGCGCTTTCGAATGGCCGTGGCTGTCTCCTCCTGATTGGTGGAGTTGGCCCAATAGCTGTAGCGCCACTGTCCTGACGTCAGGACAGTGTTCAAATCTGGATCAGTTTTTATCAGATCCGTTGCAGCCCCTTTTTTAGAGATTTGGGTATGGAGGAAAATAGAGAGGGTTGTGTTTTCTGACACTTGGTGAGTTCCCTGGAACACCGGGGACACATATTCATGTATAAAAGACGTACAAAAGTGCATTTTGCATGATAGGTCCCCTTTAAATTTAGTAATAACTCAGGCAGTCATAGTATTTACCTCCTTGATTGCCAGACGCCTAATTCTTCTGTCCTGGAAGGAGCAAGCACCTCCCAATTTTACTAGATGGATAAGAGACACTATGCTCTTCCTTACATTTGAGAAAATCCAGTACACTCTAAAAGGCTCTGTGCAGAAGTTTACAAAGATTTGGACCCCCTTCCTAAATGATTACGATAGTTTACAGATCCCCCTTAACCAGGATGACTAGAGCAATAGTTTGTGGCAGCAGTTTTTTTTTTTAAACTGTTAAACATATAAAAAAACGAAGACGAAATCCAAAATTCAAGGGCTGACAATTTGGAAAAAATATGTAATTTGTAAATAAATGGACTGTTGTTGAAATTGAAATATGATTCATGATATCAGAGGGGCTTCCATGTGTTGAGCATGCATTCAAATATCAACATTATGACAACCAAGACTTCAGATTTAAAAATCAAAAACCACAGCTGTAGTTACAAAGTGTTCCCACTAGGTGGCGCCAGAGTCATATATGTAATTCAACAACAGCACAAAGCTCTAGGCGGTCAGAGGGAATGTTAAAAGGCCTCAGAACAGGGCCTGGAACTGAAGAGCTGCACACAGAAGGGCTTTGCTTTTGGGATACCACACTTTAATAGAGTTCATATAGAGACACATATATATTATTATAGACACATTTTCATCCAAAAAAAACGTTTGATCATTTATCCAATGATTATTTCGATGTAGGCCTACATCTTGAATTAGCTAGTGAAGACTGGACTTACTTAACTGATAGAGTCCAAATAGTTCAGAGATAATGTTTAACTTTGTTTTGAAATCACGCCAAAATATATATATAAAAGTAATTTCACAAATATACTATAATTTTAAAATGTATGTATTCAATGTATAGATTTCTCAAAATAAACCACACGCGTGTTGCAATATATTATTATTATTATTATGACAGTCACAAAATATCAAAGGAATAATAAAGGATGTTATTACTATTACATGTTATTATGGTAAATAATATATGATGCAATTCAGTTCAGCTATTTTATGGCTTATTGTGCCAGTGTTAGAGTAGTTTTTTATAATGTATGTGTTCCTAAGTGCTTTTAATGAATCAAATAAATACTGTATATTTAGGGTTCAGATGACAACAATATACATTTCACTAACTGCAATAAATAGCCTAACGTGTAGAAAACGTTTCACAAAAACAATGAAAAAGTAAAAGACACATAACATTTCAAATACAGTCAATACCATACATTTAAAAATAATTACTGATTTGATTGAGCACTTACAGTATTAGGCATTTAAACCTAAAAAGTAAAAATGCATTGTAGATTTTTTTCCTTATGTAATTGTATTTGTATTGGTTATTTTATTGAACTAAATAGTGTCCAATCTTAGTAAGTTTAATATTGATAAAGCTTTTAAATTGTTAAGACACTACCAAATCCTCTCAAGATGTTTTTAATCAAATGCTTCTAGTCAATATTAATTGAACAGTATTTTCTTATTTTCTAACCTTATTTAAAGAGAGCCTTCTCCTCGTCTTAAAAGGTTGAAAAAAAGCAGTGAAGAGCAAGTTTTTTTGAACAAACAGTTTTTTCGCCCCTTAAGCCAAGACAGGACAATATTTGCCTTAGCTAGAATACCATTTTCCCTGGACTTTGGGGTGTTGTTTGAAGAGGAGGGGGCCTGACAGGCGCTCTTGAGGGCTGACCCTCACTCTGCCGGGGACACGCCGCCAGCCGCATATAAATAAAAGATTACAGTGGAAAATCAATTTCTGAGCAAACTCATTAAAAATGCCCCTCGCCTTAACTGATTCCATTTCCTCCCGTTCAACCTGTTAACGCCTTGCTGTCCCTGAGCCGGACCACCACCACTGCTTCACCCCCCCCCCCTCCTCCTCCTCCATCCTCCCTTTGCCCTGTCGCTCTCCCCCGGTGGTAATTACTTGCACAAGTCGTTTTTTGCCCTTTGATTTGCACCGTTTCACAAATGAAGGTTAAGTTTGTTTAACCGTGCTGGATTTGCCAGTCATGTTAAAGCATATAATGTGGCAGGTCCTTGGTTTCTGCACACACCTCAGGCCTGCCTCCCCCCTCATCTCCTTCCCTGTTGGCCTGGGCCTCCCCAGGAGGAGGAGGGGGGGGGGGCTCCAAGGTTAAGGCTTACTGGGCCTGAGGAAGCCTGCAGTGGATCAGGCTTCAGACCCATTGACTTAACTGAAAGGAGACCAGGAAGTTGTTAAAAATCACCTCTGCTAAAAGGATTAAGAATCAAACTGCTGTGTTTGTCCTGAGAGGATGTTAAGGTGCTCTCGGTAAGTCACTGAGAAGATAGAGAGGACGAAATGGGAGCGAGATAAGGGATCATTAGTGAACCTCCCTCCAAGGTCTCGGACCTACAGTACAGCAGAAGCTTTTGTCAAAATCTTCCTATACAATGTTTATGAAACACTTTGCACAGCTTATTGTTGAAACAGAAAGAAATGAACAATAGTGAAAGACACACAAAGTGTACAAGTGTTTTCCCATTTCAGCGCCTTCGCCTTGTCTCCGATCAATACCTCACAGAGTGAAAGTCACCAGAGCCAAGGTGAACATCGATCTCAGGCAGCCGGAGCCGTTAAGAGCATTTTAAGTGTGTCGCTGAGGATTGTTTAGCTGCAGCTCGCACACAAAGGAGAGCACACGGAGGAGTTTGTTATCACACTGCACACAAAACCACGAGACTTTCACATTCACAGCCAGGCATTGTCTTTCAGCTAATCAGATCTATATTGGTGCACTGAAGCAGTCTTGAAGTTAATGGCTTTTTGGTCTGAATTTAGGTTTGTTGTTAACACAA